ATTGAAGGGTCATTGTGGCCATGGAGGGGTCATTGTGGTCACCAGAGTGGTACTGGGGTCATCGGGGGGTCACTGTGGTCATTGAAGGGTCACTGTGGTCACCAGGGGGTCACTGTGGTCACCAGGGTCACATTGTGGTCATTGAGGGGTCACTGTGGTCACCAGGGTCACATTGTGGTCATTGAGGGGTCACTGTGGTCACCAGGGTCACATTGTGGTCATTGAGGGGTCACTGTGGTCACCAGGGTCACATTGTGGTCATTGAGGGGTCACTGTGGTCATTGAAGGGTCATTGTGGTCATTGAGGGGTCATTGTGGTCACCAGAGTGGTACTGGGGTCATCGGGGGGTCACTGTGGTCATTGAAGGGTCACTGTGGTCACCAGGGGGTCACTGTGGTCATTGAGGGGTCATTGTGGTCACCAGAGTGGCATTGGGGTCATGGGGGGGTCACTGTGGTCATTGAGGGGTCATGGTGGCCATTGAGGGGTCATAGTGGTCATTGAAGGGTCATTGTGGTCATTGAGGGGTCATTGTGGTCACCAGAGTGGTACTGGGGTCATCGGGGGGTCACTGTGGTCATTGAAGGGTCACTGTGGTCACCAGGGGGTCACTGTGGTCACAGGGAGGGTCATTGTGGTCACCAGGGTCACATTGTGGTCATTGAGGGGTCACTGTGAGCATAGGGGGGTCCCCTGGGACACGGGAGTGTCACCGGTAGCCAGGGGGTGTCACCATCAACACAGGGGTGTCACCGTCACTGCGAGGGTGTCACTGTCCCCACAGGGGTGTCACTGTCACCGAGGGGGTGTCACTGTCCCCACAGGGGTGTCAGTGTCCCCACAGGGGTGTCACTGTCACCATGGGCATGTCACTGTCCCCACAGGGGTGTCAGTGTCCCCACAGGGGTGTCACTGGTCACTGAGGGGGTGTCACTGTCCCCACAGGGGTGTCACCGTCACCAAGGGGGTGTCACTGTCCCCACAGGGGTGTCACTGTCACCGAAGGGGTGTCACTATCCCCGAAGCGGTGTCACCATCACCAAAGGGGTGTCACCGTCCCCACAGGGGTGTCACTGTCCCCGCAGGGGTGTCACTGTCACCATGGGCGTGTCACTGTCCCCACAGGGGTGTCACTGGCACCGAAGGGATGTCACTATCCCCGAAGGGGTGTCACCATCACCAAAGGGGTGTCACCGTCCCCACAGGGGGGTCACTGTCCCCGCAGGGGTGTCACTGTCACCGAGGGGGGTCCCCACGCCCATGGGGGGGGTCCCCACCAGCCGGGCAGAGGCGGAGCTCCCCCAGAGCGTCACGGGGCCCCTGCCTGTCTTGGGGGGGTGGCAGTGTCCCCCCTGTCCCCAGGGGTGCCCCGGGGGGGGGCGGGGCAGGAGGGGGGGACGGGGGGGCTGTGCCGGGGGTCCGACTGTCCCCAGGGTCCGACTGTCCCCAGGGATCCAGCTGTGCCCGGGATCCAGCTGTGCCCGGGATCCACGGTGCCCCAGGAGCGGCTGTGCCCAGGCTCCGGCTGTTCCCGGGATCCAAATGTTCCCAAAATCTGGCTGTCCCCAGGGTCCGACTGTTCCCAGGCACCGACTGTTCCCGGGATCCAGCTGTGCCCAGGGTCCGGTTGTTCCCAGGCTTTGGCTGTTCCCGGGATCCAAACATTCCCAAAATCTGGCTGTGCCCAGGCTCTGACAGTTCCCGGGATCCAGCTGTGACCAGGGTCTGATTGTTCCCAGGGTCTGACTGTTCCCAGGGTCTGATTGTTCCCAGGAATCCAAACGTTCCCAAAATCTGGCTGCGCCCAGGCACCGACTGTCCCCAGGGTCTGACTGTTCCCAGGGTCAGGCTGTTGCCAGGATCCAGCTGTGCCCAGAGTCCGGCTGTGCCCACGGTCTGACTGTTGCCAGGACCCAGCTGTGCCCACCCCGCTTTGTTCTGGTGTCTGATTGTTCCCGGGCTCCGGCTGTTCCCGGGCTCTGGTTGTACCCACAGAGCTGTTCCAAGGGACACGGCTGTCCCTGGTGTTCCCTTGTCCCCAAACTCTCTTTGTCCCATGTCCAGTTATCCCCGGTGTCCGGCTGTCCCCAGGCTCCGGTTGTTCCCAGTGTCCGGCTGTTTCCGCTCTCCCGGTGTTCCCAAACTCCAGCTGTTCCCAAACTCCGTCTGTTCCCGTCCCCCCCCTCCATCCCCATCCCAGACACCAGTGACACCCGTGAGTGACACCAGTGACACCAGTCCGCACCAGTTATCAGCTCCCCCAGCCCGCGGCTCCGCTCCCTGCGCCAGCCACGCCCTCCAGCGCCGCCCAGTATCTCCCAGTATCTCCCAGTATCCTCCCAGTATCTCCCCAGTACAGAGCCCGGCGCTCCCCGTCCAGCCCCACACCCTCGGTGCAGACCAGTCCCCCCAGTCCAGACCTGCACCCCCAGTACCTCCCAGTGTGCCCCAGTTTGTCCCAGTCTGCCCAGTACTGCCCATTGTCCCCAGCCCCTCCCAGTCCATCCCAGTCCTCCCAGTCCATCCCAGTCCTCCCAGTCCATCCCAGTCCTCCCAGTCCATCCCAGTCCTCCCAGTCCATCCCAGTCCTCCCAGTCCATCCCAGTCCTCCCAGTCCATCCCAGTCCTCCCAGTCCATCCCAGTCCTCCCAGTCCATCCCAGTCCTCCCAGTCCATCCCAGTCCTCCCAGTCCATCCCAGTCCTCCCAGTCCATCCCAGTCCTCCCAGTCCATCCCAGTCCTCCCAGTCCATCCCAGTCCTCCCAGTCCATCCCAGTCCTCCCAGTTCCCCCAGTCCATCCCGTGGCCAGTTACCCCGCTCCTGCCGCCTTGTCCCCCCCGTCTGCCCCCTCCGTGTCCCTCCGTTGTCCCCCCCTGCCCCCCCAGCGCCCGCTGTCCCCCGGTGTCCATGCAGCGGGGCCGGGCCGCCAGGCGGCAACACATGCGGCCATAGAGGGGCACCCAGCAGGGGCTCTGCTCTGGGGGGACACGGGGACACGGGGGGGGGACACAACACGCGTGTGACACACGGGACACGCACGGGACACGCGTGTGGCACACGGGACACGCGGGGGGCTGGGGGTCCCCGTGTCCCCGCTGTCCCCGGTTTTGGGGGGTCGCAGCCCCTGCCCCTCCCCCCACGCGCGACGGGGGAGGGGGCGGGGTCAGGAGGGGGCGGGGCTTTGGTGGCGCTCAGCCCCCGCTCGGCTCCGCCCGGATTTGTTCGGCTCCTTTCGGATCCGTTCGGTCCCGCTCGGCTTCGGCTCGGCTCCGCCCGGCCTCGGCTCGGCTCCGCCCGGCCTCATTCGGCCCCTTTCGGCTCCGCCCGGCCTCATTCGGCTCCTTTCGGCTCCGCTCGGCTTCGCTCGGCTACATTCGGGTTCTTTCGGCTTCTCTCGGCCCCGCCCGGCTCCTTTCGGCCCCTCTCGGTTCCTCATCCCTCAGCACCGCCCCCCGCCCAGTTTGGGGGGATCCCGTGAGGACATTGAGGGGGGGGTGGGGGCAATGATGAGGGGCCCCAACACCCACCCTAGGGGTCCTCATGTCGTTGGAGAGACCCCCTGCCCACCCTGAGGGTCCCATTGTCCTTGGAGACCCCCTGCCCACCCTGGGTGTCCCCATGTCCTTGGAGACCCCCTGCCCACCCTGGGGTTCCTCACCCAACATCCATTCTGGGGGTCCCAATGTCCTTGGAGAGACCCCTGCCCACCCTGGGGTTCCCCATGTCCTTGAGGGGGTGGCACTGACCCCTTCCTGCCAGCCCTGCAGGATTTGGGGTCAGGGCGCTCTGCCCCCCCCGATTTCACCCCAAATTCCTCAGTGGAGCCTCTGGATTGCCCCTCCCCAGAGGCCCCAAACGCAGGGACGCCCCAAACCCACCGCCCGCACCCCAAAACCAGCTCCACCATCGGAGTGGGGGATCTTCATTCACTGCACCCGGGGCTTGGTGCCTGCTGGGGCTGGCCAAGGTCCTGCTGCTCCCCCCGGGGATTTCGGGGTCCCCATCACCGCACAAACCCAGGGACACCCCAGACCCACCGCCCGCACCCCAAAACCGCCGCCACCATCAGAACTGGGGGGATATTTAATAAACAGCTTCGTGTTTTGGGGCCATCACCGCAACTCGGAGGTCCCGTTGGTCTCGTGGGGGATTTTGGGGTCCCCTTTGCCCCCACAAACCCAGGGACACCCCAAACCCCAGGGACACCCCAAACCCACCACCACCATCATAATGGGGGGGGATTTTTGCTATTTACACCCGGATTTTGGTGACATCACCTCAGCTTGGGGCTGGCCAAGGTCCCTTTGACCTCATGGGGGATTTTGGGGTTCCCCTCTCCC